TCTGAAGTATTTAACACGCCCAACCGATCTAAACTAGTGGTACGAATGAGCAGTGGTGTTAACGGTGTTACTGATGCTCTGAGGCCTACGGTTGCATCGGAATTTGAGATACCGCGTACGGAGGGAATGAACACAATTTCAAGCGGTAACAACGAAGGAAACTGCACGAGTCCGGACCTCTCAAAGGGCTCTTTCCACGAGACTGATATGCATGCTAGCTCGGGCGCTTCACAACAGGCAGTGGCTGCACTCGTTCAGCTGGAAACCGCCCTACAAAACGCTGAGAGTGATGTCGTTGCCTCAACAACTAGCCCAGGAATAAGTGTAACGGCCTCATCTATCATCGATTCTATGACCCAAGAGGCAAGTCCCGCGGACTCTTTTGGCTTTCGCCGTCGCGGACCCCTTATGATTCACCAAGGGAAGCGCGACTCTTCACTTGGTTTGGCTCAGACAAGCCCACTTATCACCTCATCGCTGTTGCCGAGTCACTTACTTCGTGGTGCCATGGTTGCCTCAAAGTCATCTTCAGTTAGTGTTGCTATGGCACCAGGTCGTCGCTGGAAGCCAGCTAACCCATTTCTAACTAACCTTTCGGTGAGCTAACAGTTATATGACTATTGCAAATGCCTTACTTACATTATCTGATTCTGTCAAAGGGGAAATTAGCATTAAAAATGAGATATCAATGCCCTTCTAGGCTTCCTCTACAGAAAAGTTTTAGGTTAGTTAAGATCATAATTTTCTAGTATATGCAGAGCTTCGAGGCTACTAGTAAATCAGTTATGTGCTATGTATTCACCCGATTTTGTTTAAAGTGATGAACTTGTATTAGAATCTTTCCACAATGAATTGCAAATAGGCTTGCTTTCTCAAAAGTTGTTCTCATACAGGGTGGACTGCAGTGACGACCTCGCATAGGTCTTATCAACACTCCCAGCGAGAGTTGAAACGTGACATCTCATATAAATGATTTACTGGTAGTCTCAAAACTGCTTATATAGGAAAAATAAGTAATGTAGTCTAGTGTTATAGCAAAAATATTTTTGCCTCATCGACAATACCACCAAAGAATGTGATATGGAAAAAACCTGGCATTCTTTGAAGTTCACATCTGCTCTATGACCCGAGGGCACTCGTGACAATGTGGCTGAGTGGTTAACTTGTCATGCTCCCATGCTGAACTGTCACGGCTCCACTCCCGCTGGGGGTGTTGATAAGTCCTATGTGAGGTCGAAATTACCGTCCACCATGTATGAGAACAACTTTTGTT